TAATCAAGTTTCGCGAGATTCTTGACGTTTGTATAAAACGCTTAGCTTTTTAATCTTAGCTTGTGCTATGCTTTAAAGTGGTTCAGTCCAGTACCATGAACTTTCTCCCTTGTGTACCGAAGCGTTCAGTGCCGCGACTGTGTGAACAATGGGAAACCTATGATATCGGCACTGGTAACAAACCTTGGTACCAGGAATGTACCAGTAGAAACCCTTAGACCTTGATTTCAATATTAGAAGTAATGTCCAAGTGATTTCCTTGTGATTAAATTCCTAATTTGGCGGCCGTGACCATCATAGCTACTTAGGCATTCGTATTTATTATGTGTGTTCGGTGACTATCACTGAACTTGATTTCGCCGGTTGGATAACAACGATTCATCCTGAACATTTGAAGACTCGTGCACTAAAATTGAGTGGTCGCCTATGAGAGACGCAGTGCACTGAGTTGATATGATATGATTGTGTTATATATCAATTCAGTATAGCCCGTTCGTCTGCAGCCAACATACTTTCATCGTTCCAAGTGGCCATTGTCCCCAGTTGGGTATAATTAAACGACGGTTCAACGTTTATTGATTCAAACGCTCCACAGTCCCATCACACATGGGCGATGTGATCTGCTAACTAAGTACTAGGTGTCATTTGTACTAGCGGAACACGAGGGCAGTAGGCACAACCAGCAAAAGCCACAGCGTGGGAAACACTGGATGCCTAGCTCAGCTTGTTTGGTAGAACGAGTTTGAGTCCTACCTTATAGGAAAATAAAAGCAAGGTTGCAGCTTGTACGCGTGTTCACGTAACTGCTTGGTGCAGTAACCACTTTTGGCAACCGCATGCATTTTGTCACTAATAACTTTAATTTAGGGAACAGGTAAAGAAGCTCCTAGTCGGACTTCCTAAGCACTATTCAGTAGTTCCCCTTAGCAGCATGCTAAAGTAAAACTTCATGGACCCTTTCTAATTGTGCATGCTTTTTCTCAATAGCAACAGCAATGTACACTCACTGTATTCGTTATGCAATCCAGTGTTGTTTTGTTGCAGCGGCCTTCATGAGCCTTAACTCCGCAATCCGACTGCATGTGTGTTGCCATCATGATACAACTACAAGGAATAATTAACAATGATTTATGTCGGGTAAAATAGCAGTTGCTTGACATGTCCCGCAGAATGGTGGTGTAAAACTACAATTATCAAACGATAGGTGAGTTGTCTGTCTGAGCGTTTAGCTAGCAGCTACGCTGCTGAATAATAGTACTGTAAGTGGGAATTGACTGTGAACGACGTGGCAACATGGGGACAGTTATAGTTGATGTATTACATGTGAAAAGTAAAAGACAAGAATACTCACTTCTGTCCTTCATCCTCAGGTTTACGTAACATGCTAATCCGCTTTGAGGGATAATTATTATATTCCAAATTTGTACAGTATAGGCAAGGAAGTGATGGGGGCCAAGGGCAAGATCCAATCGTCATTTGAAAATATCCAAGGTGGGTGAGAAAACAACGAAGTTTGGGAGAGAGTTCCAGGGTTGGCAAACCCGAAGAGAAAAATAATTCTGCCGGTGTTCCAGGCGGCTATACTGTGCACACAGTTTCAAAGGGTTACCTCTGAGATTGGTGTTATGGCTGAGTTTCAGCAAGTGACGGCATACGTGATTAGGGTCACTCAATATTTGGTAGACTAATAGGAGATCACCGCGTAGCCTTCGGTAACGGCCAATGAAAACTCCCAGTGATTTCAGCCTTTGATGGTAGGAGAGATTTCGTAGCCCCAAATGTCGTTGTTGCCCTGCGTTGGGGTTTCTCTAGTACGTTTAGCTCACGCTTCAACCAAGGTTGCCAAGCTTGGATGGCGTATTCAACGTGAGGGCGCATGTAAGAACTGTGCAGCATGGGGAAGATGGATGGGTCGAATCTTCCGAATGCTCTCCGCAGCAAGCCGACGTGCTGGTTTGCTCTCTTTGCAGCTGCCTCTGACTGTTTTGAACAGTTAAGGTCACTTTGAATTAGCACACCAAGGTCGCGTTCTAGGGAAGTGGTTTGCATTGCATGTGACCCAACCATATACACGTAGTCATGTCTATGGCGCACTTGAACAGCATGACGTTTCTCCACATTGAACGGTAGGATATTCAAAAGTGACCAGGTTGAAATCGTGTTGAGGTCAGGCTGGAGCTTTTCGCGGTCGTTCGGTTCTTTGATCGCTTGTCAAAACTTGGTATCATCCGCAAAGAGTCGAAAATCGGAAATAATTTCTCTCTCCAGAACGTTTATGAAAATCAACAATAGACGGGGCCCGAGCACCGAGACTTATGGTACGCCGCACTCCACCTTTAACTGTGTCGGATAGGGATTCTGGTACTCTCACTTCCAACCAAAGTTCGTGCAGGAAATGGCCTATCCAACGCAGCAGTGGGTCGCCAACTCCATAGAGCTGAAGTTAATGGAGGAGAAGTTGGTGGTCTAAGCGATCAAACGCTTTTGGGAAGTCCAGGTAAATGACATCAACTCCTGCTCCACCATCAACTGCTTCAGTCCAGCTGTTGCGTGCAATTAACAAGTTTGTTGTGCATGAGCGCCTGTGTCGGAAGCCATGATGCTCTGGTGCTATCATCTTGTGATTTTCCAGGTACTGCACGAGTGCATCAGCGATGATAGACGCCATAACCTTGGAAAACTTAGGGAGTAGCGTTGTAGGACGGTAATTGGTTGGGTCAGTGCGGCTACCACCCTTATGAATAGGAGTGATTACCCCACGCTTCGATATTGTTGGAATATGGTTCGCATCCACACAGCGCTCATAGAATATAGCCAGAGGTTTCGCCAGATCACTAATTACTGCCTCTAAAGCCTTCGGTCGAATGGTAACGACAACAGGAGAGTTGTGGATACGCAGCGACGACAGTTTCTTTGACACACTTTCTGCAGCAAAAGTAATATTGGTTAAAGCTGATGGTGGGACAATAGAAACAGGGGTAACCGTTGGGTATGTTATTTACCGTAACGTTTGTGAGTAATGGAACCGTTTGAGTGCGGCTAGTTCCGTTGCTGATCGCGTGCATCTGTCAGTCGTGATCAGTGCCGGAATTCCGCGATGCACCTTACGAAGGCCATTAACATGTCTGTATAACAGTTTGCGGTTCGTGCAGAATCTCTTCATTAACTTGCTAAGGCATCAGCTTGTCTTCGCGGATCAAACTCACACAGAAGTTACGCTGTGCTACATAAGCAGTCCAGGTTTTGGAATTCGGGGAGTCCTTGTGAGCTCTCCAGGCTGTCCCTCAAGGACATGTATTTGTGTGTTCTGCTCCTCGTAAATGATTTCCTTCTCCTTTGACAATGGAAGGATTTCTGCTCAGACGCGTGCTTTATCAGTGTGGTGAATGTCCTTGTAAAAGTGTCCCAGGCGGTTTCTGGGGGCTTTCCCTTATGAAGGTAAAAGATACCTCCTTAACGAGCGCGGATAGCAAGTTGTAGTGCGTGACTATATATACTTCCTGGTCCTCTTCCTCAGGATATTCCGCATAACACACATAGTTAAACAGTAGAGTGACATGGTCACTGCGACCCAGTGGTGTGCTTGTGATTATTCCGTCTACCACGAGTTCTTCGTTGGTGAGCACAAGCTCAAGCATCGACGGGTCACCGTACCCTGTACTCAGTTACCAAACAATTTTGGAGCTAGGACTTGTATTTTATTCATCGCGTACAGCTGTCTTGGTCAGGCCAAACCTTATCCTATTTGTTTTGATTTGAATTCAGTTGTATTCGTTAATTGGATTTGCTTCGTTTGTTATTCGAGTTTGCTAGGAGGATGAATTGCTGTTTTCGAATTTGTACCTTTAGCCAATACACTATGATTAGGTACCAGAATATATTCGTGTGGTTGTGAAAAGCGGTTTTTGTGATCTACCTTGCTAGGAGGCAGAATCGTTTACCGTTCTCCTCTGACTGTACGCAAATAAGATGCAGTGTGGCTATGTCACGAACACCTATTGCATTACCAGTGGCTGCGACATCGTCGCTCATGCTCGCGGCGTGGTAAGCAACCATCTCAACATACATAACTAGGATGACTTCACCCTACCGACCCAAGGTGATCAAGTCGGCAACAGGTCATTGCTAAAGCGAGTGCTTTAAGGAGTGGTAACCGAACACATCTCTTTAGGTTATGCTAATATAACATCTATCTTCGGACCAGTTCTCTACGGCTGTGGTATAATTACAACTTCTGCATAAATCCTGCATAAACTACCCCGAAGCCTTACCGAATCGGTCCTCAGCAGTCTATGGTGAATGTCCGCTTACTAGGACATCTGGGAACGCTAGTACTCCGCATCAGTACTTTGGAGATTACTACTTCTTTTGATATAGCTTGTTACCTCATTTGTAACTTGCGGCAGCGTTTGTTGATCGGTCGTTGACTGGTCGAATTTAGAGTTTAAAAAATAGCTGCCATTCCCTTCGCCCATATTATATTTCTTCGTGTACCAGGCTGCATTTTCACCAGGTTATCGTCTAACATGCCGTGGCACTACTGTCGTTGTGTTCCTCAGGTACGTTAATGTGAGTATTGTTTTGTGAGGGCTTGTGCTAGGTACCGGACCGAGTATTTCAGACTACGTCGTCTTGGCCAGAAAGGACTACTACTGCGGAACCTAATTTGTTGGATGAATACCTTGTATGCTTACTGTGTACACTTCACTAGATTGTATCAGACGCTTGTGCTGAGAAGATAACGGTTCGCCCAGTAACATTTTAAAAGTGTAGGTGGACTACGAAAAATTTTTCTCCGTATCCACGTAACCGCTAGTCTGATTCTAACGAACTTACATTACGTACAGATGCTTGGATTGAACTGTGTGTTATATAGAACAAATTACACAGACACGTAGTTACCGTGACAAAATGACAGGTGTCGGACGCTGTGCATCATGAGCTGAACCCATTCCCACCCTACGAAAAACCTAATGACTATTTTCTCCCCTTCTATCTAGGAGGAAGAATTCTGAACATTGGAAATTATTTGCGCGCGTGGGTACTTGACTGGATCAGACTAATCCACCAAGGATCTCCGTGGGATTATCGGAAATAGCTCAGTATATTTGTTGCCATAATCTACTTATTTCGATAAACTAAAACCGTTCTTCGGATTACCGTTTTCAAGTACAACCAACTGGAAGTGCGAAAGGTTGGGTTTACTTGCTGCCATAGAAGCTTTGACTTTATAGCCCCGCACACATATTCCCTGTAACTGGTGCTAGGCTAGACCGCTTATAATGCTAATTGTTGGCGCTCTACGGTCACGAAAGCGTTGCTTTCCTTGGCCCTGCACGAGAGTAGCGCGTAAGTTAATAAAGTGTACTTCGTGTTATTTAACGCGTAGTTACATTCTCATGTTCGCCACAGGCATCCACCAAAAGGAAGGGATCTGTTGCTCTGTCTATAAGCAGTCGGACCAGCGAACTGACTGTGCGATGGTGGTCAGTAGCGAGACGAAGCTCCAGAACTCTGTTGTGTTTCCGTACTCCAATTGTCGTCCAACTGGGTCTAGCCATAGTAAGTACAAATGCTACCATGGCTATTTTCCTGTTGATCTACCACAGTTGTATGTGCGATATCTCGTGCGGCATACAGCCAGCTGCCTGGCATAGCTCATCGTTCATTGGAATAGGAAATGTACGTTTCCTCTTCACAGGCTGACAAGGAAGTAGGTATCGGCGCACGACTAACTCCGTCCAATAATAATAATGAGAAAAGAAGGGCAATCTGCGTAAACTTCAATGTTACAGGCCGCCAGCAGAACTGTTAACCAAACGTCCGTGAGTAAAATTAAGAGAATAAATTAAATCAGCGCATATTTTAGAGGGTGGTCTGTACCGGGATCCCAGAGAGCGATTCGAGAAAACAGATCGAGTTGCAGGGAAACTTTTATTGGTACAGTAAAAGATTCCCTGTTATCTAGCTATTAAAGAACGACACCGTGGACGTTCTAGCTAGGGGAACGGAGCAAGCACAGCACACAGGGCAGTTGCGAGTTGCAACCGAAACGAGCGCCGAGCAAAAATGGCGATGAGCAAGTCAAGCATTCGAACTCAGCAATCAGTTCAACAAACCACACCGGCTGCCTAAGTGTACGACAACATAATTTTAGTTAGAATGTTACACAGGCAAACTGGGGAATCTCCAGACTGCTACATAGCCCTCTCCCAGAAGGGACTGTGTAAGCAGTCCTTCGATCTACGTGAGGACTGTCCGTCGCGGGCCAGCCTTCTGCGAGACCAGGTTGTGAAACCTGATGCAGCTGCTGGGGGAGAACCATGCAATCGGACCCCAGCGGGCTCCCACACGTGTCCTCCCTACGGTGTCGAAACGGTAAAATAAAACTGTTTTTGGGGGGACAGTTAGTAAAGTTCATGTAGGCGGTTGAACAGGAAGTTCGTTCCACTTGCAGTTGACGTGCGGAGATCCAGCGGAAAGTGAAACCGAGGGGCAACCAACCGACGGTGTATATGGAAAGCAAAATGAAAAAGCAGCATAAATGCATAGCAATACACAAAAGAGTGTAAAGCGAAAAACGTGCAAAGCAGTTTTTGGGTTTTCAAAAGGTTTTGCTCTTTTTTGGTAGTTTCAAAAGGTTTTGATCTTTTTTGTGGATTTTCGAAAACATTTGGTAAGAGCAAAAAACTTCAAAGGCACGTTCTATGTAAAATAGTGAGTGCGAACAAAGTCCGAAAAACGAACTGGGGGTTTGAGCTTCCTACCGCGTCGATTGATAGCAGGGCGAGTAGGAGTGCTGTCGGTTGAGGTTGTCGGTTCTGCTGGAGCCGACTAACTCGTCTGAGGTTGCGGTGCCAGCTGTGATGGCACAGGCTGGGAAGGTGCTTGTTGCACCGAAGAGTCAGACTTGTCGAGGAATGCTGGCTTGAGTCGATCAATGGTGATCGTCTCAGTGGTGTTGCGTCGTAGCTTGCCTATGTCGGGATCAGCTTGTTGGGCAGCAGCCATAGCGGCTAGATCAATGTGGGTGCTAGGCGATAAGCTGATCTGTTGAATGCGTGAAAGCGCATCAGCGACGGGATTGAGAGCACCTGAGACATGTCGTACGTCTGTCGTAAATTGAGAAACGTAGTCTAGGTGTCTAGTTTCCCGCGGAGAATACTTGTCCGTTGCGCCATTGATTGCGTAGATCAATGGCCTGTGGCCAGTGAAGACTGTAAAGGGTCGACCTTCGAGATAGTGACGGACATGTCTGATACCTAGGTAAATAGCTAACAGTTCCCTACCGAAGGTGCTGTAACGCGATTCGGCAGGTTGTAAACGTTTCGAGAAGAAACCTAGAGGTATCCATCGATGGTCGATGATTTGTTGAAGAACTGCACCGACGGCAGTGTCGGATGCGTCAGTTGTCAGGGAGAGTGGTGCAGATGTGTCTGGACGGGCGAGAAGCGCTATGTTGGAGATAGCGTCTTTGAGCTTCTCGAAAGACAGTTTAGCGTCGTCTGCAAAATGAAAAGACCGTTGTTTACCGCGGAGCAAGTCAGTCATTGGTTGAACAATGCTCGCGCAGTTAGGAATAAAGCGTCTATAATAGTTGACCAGGCCAAGGAATCGGCGTAACTGTTTGAAGGAACTGGGAGCAGGATAGTCCTTCAGTGCCTGGATTTTGTCTGGCAGAGCTTCGATACCAGATGCGGATATTCGGTGGCCAAGAAAGTCGATGGAACTTTGGCCAAGCTCACATTTATCGGGGTTGACTGTAACCCCATGCTGTGTTAAGCGTTGGAAGAGTGCGTCGAGGTGATGAAGATGCTCTTCGTCAGAAGAGCTGGCGACGAGTATGTCATCTAAATAAGGGTAAACGCCTTCGAGTCCTCGCGTTACCTCATGAATGAAACGCTGAAAAGTTTGGGCAGCGTTGCTGAGGCCAAAAGGCATTCTGAGGTACTCGAATAGGCCGAATGGCGTGATGACTGCGGTTTTGGCAATGTCGTCTGGCGCGACAGGTATCTGATGGTAGGCGCGAACTAACTCGACTTTGCTAAAGATAGACTTGCCAGCTAGAGCTGAGGTCAAGTCGTGCATGTGCGGAATGAGGTATTTATCCGGGACGGTAACTTTGTTAAGTGCCCTGTAGTCACCACAAGGGCGCCAGTCACCGGATTTCTTCGGTACCAAGTGTAATGGTGATGCCCATGGACTTTTGGACGGGCGAATGATTCCCAGTTCGAGCATTTGCTCGGATTCCGCCTTAGCAGCTTTGAGCTTGTCCGGGGCTAGTCGGCGAGGGCGGGCCGAAACAGGTGGGCCCTTAGTGCAGATGTGATGCATGACGTTTGACGTCACAGGAGACAAGTCGTTCAGGACGCGTAGGAGTTTAGGATGCCTGATGAAAAGCTCTATAAAAGGTTGTGAAGCTTGAGGTAGGACACGAATGGGAGTGATAGCAGCCACGTTGGCGCTAGTCCCGATAACACTGAGCTGTGTCCTAGAGTCCATAAGTTTCTTCCTTTTTGCGTCGACGATGAGGTCGAAGCGTTGAAGAAAGTCTATGCCTATGATAGCGAAAGGCACGGCAGCGATTATGAAAGGCCAGCGAAAGGTTCGCCGGAGGCCTAAATTGAGTGTCAGCAGCTTTTCGCCGAAAGTTGCGATTGGTGTGCCATTGGCGGCACGCAGCTTGGTCGGCGATGGTGAGATGACCTCATCTGGGCTACGGGGTATAACGCTAACTTCGGCTCCTGTGTCGACTAGAAACTCGGTGCCGGAAGTTAAATCCCTAACGCGGATGAGGCGACTTTGGTGTTGGCCGGTCGCGTCCGTCGCCGTTACGGAACGGCCGAGGTTTCCATGCTTCTCGGCGAAGTTGCAAGGTTTGCCAAATTTACGAGCTGCGGCACCAAAACGCTGATGGTACCAACAGCTGGCCTGCCTGTTGCTAGACTTAGGACGTTTGCATGGCGATTTTGAGCGGCTATGATAACGACGGCTCATAGTAAGCTGCTGAACCTGACGACTAAGTGTCGCAACTTGTGTTTGCAGGACTTCTATAGTTGACTGTAAGCCAGTGATAGAAGTGCCCTGGGACGCGACGGCATTCATCTTGCTGGCGTCGGCTTGTGGCTGTGATCGTTCAATAACTCGATCCGCTAAGTCTGCTAGTTGAGTGAGCGGAACGGAGCTCACTGTAGCGAGAATCGCTTGCGTGTTTTTCGATAGCCGCCGTAGCCATAGTTCGCGAAGTAAAGTCTCGTCCATGGTTGAGGAACCAAGAAGTTGTTGCTTCTCCCGTAGAAAAATTTGAGGGCAGTTTGTCGCCCAGCTGCAGATCCCTGAAAAGCTGTTGCAGGCGAACTTTCTCAGAGGGCATAACACGCTTAATCGTGGCCTCCTTGAGAGCCTCATAGCGGTTTTCGGTCTGAGAAAGGATAACGTCACGAACCTGCGTATTGATATCTCCTTGGGGAGATAGGACAGGAGTTTGCTATACTTCGCATAGTCGGAAGTGATTCTGTGGTTATAAAACTCAGCCTCAAGAAGAGCGAAAAACAAAAGAGGATCCATGTCCCAAAAAGGTGGAACTGAGAGAGATACAACGCTTAGTAGAGACTCTACCTTATGGTCTACAGATTCCATGGCTCAAAAATGACGCAAAAAATAGGCTACCGTATGCAAAAATAAACAGCAAAATATGAAAAATAAACGAAACGAGCTCACCGGAGAAAAGTTCGAAATATCCGGCGTTGAGATTGTTCCGGATTCGTGGTCACCAATTTAGAGGGTCGCCTGTACCGGGATCCCAGAGAGCGATTCGAGAAAACAGATCGAGTTGCAGGGAAACTTTTATTGGTACAGTAAAAGATCCCCTGTTATCTAGCTATTAAAGAACGACACCGTGGACGTTCTAGCTAGGGGAACGGAGCAAGCACAGCACACAGGGCAGTTGCGAGTTGCAACCGAAACGAGCGCCGAGCAAAAATGGCGATGAGCAAGTCAAACATTCGAACTCAGCAATCAGTTCAACAAACCACACCGGTTGCCTAGGTGTACAATGAAATAATTTTAGTTAGAATTTTACACAGGCAAACCGGGGAATCTCCAGACTGCTACAATGTACAAAGCTTATGCACAAAAGCTGACTTTCGATAAATAAAGGTTGACCGGTTCAGTGGCAAATATCATATAAGGAGCCACAAGAAAGCGTCAAATACAGAGTAAGATATAAGATAATAAGCATGAGATTCAGTTAAGATTTGGCAAATATTATCAGTAAGCGTCAAGGAAACGATTACCGGACATT